ATTTACAGCCGAACCGCGTCGGAGAGGGCCTGCCCATAGTGCGGCAGAAATGAGCTCGAAGCCTAAACGGAGGAGGGTAAAGTGAAATTAATTCCGAACCCATACATAAAATGCATACATTTCTACGTTAGCCTTAGGTAATGACAGTCGTTGACTCTTGCTACAATCCGATCAAAGTAGCCAAGTCCAATCTAGTGTCGATTGCACTAAAACGACCATTCACAGAAAACATATCTGACTATTTCGCCGATTACAAACGGTGAACTCTGGTATATCACCAGCAAACTACAGTAATGGAAAGCATTAAAAAAGGCTAAAGCACGAAGTATACGTAATGCTCTAGCTATATTAAGTGAGCCAAATTTCAAACGCCTAAACCTAGTCAAGTCTAGCCATCGTCTTCCCACACATATTTGTGAATATTAAAATATAGGTCATATATTATCGCATTATTATAAAGCTACAAATTATAATAGCAAACCTATCATTCATCGGAAGTATGCCACTCCGCAACACAGTGCAACGCCGTGTGTTCCGTACGTCGATGCCGCGCGACAGATTCGCTAGAGTCACTGAGCATAACGACCAGTCCGACGTTCCTGGTTTACATCCGCTAACCAAATATGGCGTTCCGAAAAAAAAAAAAAAAGCCCTTCTTCGAAAGTTGTAAACATACATTGGCTTGATTCAGACAGACCACGGCGCTGGAAACCACACACAGCACCAGCTTGAAATGAGGCATTTACCATATCAATGGTGGTCGATTGTGATCTCGTTCCACATAATGCTGGACTCTTGCCTCAGTATATACTTCATATAGATTCCCAAATGGTCGCACACTTTAAGTAAAGATAATGCAATATAAATTCCATCACGTTTGTAATATAATGTGGATCCTCCTCCTGACTAGCCTAACTATAGTCAGAGGGAAACAAATTTGACGCTAATCATCCCCGGAGAATTAGAACAAGCGGCACGAAGGACAAACGCAAATCTTTAAACACAGCAAGGTGACTGGTACGCGACTGAAAAAATCTTCCTTGTCTTGCTATCCAATCAGGGACCTCTTCATCCTCGGTGGAGCGCTCTACCAACTGAGCTAATGAGGAGTTAGATGTCAGTAATTAATTGAAAAATTGTCATCCGTCTTCCAAGAACCTAGATATACGGTGTAGTCCAAAATCATTAAAAAACTGAGTGTAAGGACGAAAAAGAGCTAGGGATATTGCGCGTAACAAAACCCGCGCCACCGCGGGTAAAAACGACGCATACGGTGAACGGTTGGGGCATGAGATATTTTTACCCGCAGTCTCTCGCTTTTTTGTTGTACGATGGGGTAATAATTGGGAAAATATTTGCCGTTGGCTTACCCGAGGGAATACCAGTGGATGTATGTCTCACGCAATTAATGATTATCTTGGAATGGTTGCTCGATAACGCTTTTACTGGCAACCACTTGGCGGTGCGGACACGGGCTCTGCGTACATTGCTGGGAAGGAACTCGTGCTCTTAGGGCTACAATCCCCGCCAAACGCGGACGCAGTACTTGAGTCCAGTCCGTATCCGTCCCTCGGTGGGTGGAAACTCCCGCAATGCGGTCTCGCTCTCGAGGTGCTGGTAGCCCGAGTCAAAAGCGTATTTAAAAATCGTAGGACGTCAGTAGTATCGTTTTCTTCCCCCACATCTGTCATTTCGAATAGTGAGCGGTGCAGCAGGATGGACATTAGGAACGCACAACCAACCGCCGAACGTCGTAACTGATTCGCTACAAAAAACAATGTCCGTGAGTTCAATTTCCCAAAACAAAAACACCGAGACAGCCAAGTATACCGAACGATAGAACAAAGCGAGAGAATGACGAAGCTGAGGATGCCATTGGACCTCAAAAGTGCGACGTGCGCCGGAAACAATGAGCATTACATTTCACTTTCTTATTGGTCCTCCGAACATTCATTTTGAGATGCAAACGTACTCTGAGCTTCGTAATTCGCTGCAATACTTCTAATGTTCGCCGTGATTCGACACACTCTCTGTTCTGCGGGAGATTGAAGGCCTGGATAACTCCAACGATACTTTTAAAAAAAAGCGAGCTGATGGTGTATCATTATTACCACAAGTCCCGGATGTCTTTTAGAGTATCCAGAGTGCAGGTTTGTTTGCTCCTTGCGCACCCGGTGAGTTTCCTTACCCTTTGCCCTTCCCCAATCGCCGCCCCAAACGCGACCACTTGCTTTTGCTTGCCCTCGACCTCGACGGAGCTCGCTTGGCTGCTTTGTCGTCGCAAGGTTTCCGCGCGTTTTGTTGCTGCCCTCTCCTTGCTGAGCTGGTCACTGCTTTGCGACGCTCCGAAGACACATTTCGGAGCACTCGTTCACCGTAAAGGTCGCGACAGGCCGATTACCAAGAAATACCAAAATGAAATTTAGTGCTTTGAGACAACAAATAATCAGTTTTGAGGGAAAACACAGTCGCCTAAAATCGCATTCCATTGATAGCCCTCGTTTAAGCAGGAATCATACTTAACAGCGGGAAGAGCGACGAGGGAAAACTTTATTAAAAATAAAAAAGGTCCTTAGTGCATGGTTGCACATCAATCGTGCTGTTTCCAGAATATTCGCAGCTCATTCGCAGCTCGCATTAATCAGATCTTCCATCGACCCTTGGCGAAGGTTACGGAGAGCCGATTTATACCTACACGGCATAAAGCGAGAAATGCAAGCCCGGATCCCCATCTCGTCGTCTCAGTGGGTCCTCAAACTAAGCGGTCGTGGAATGACATATGGCTCGGCGATTCGGCCTGATTCGAAGAAAACATGCGACGACCATTTCGTGGAAAGCGTAAAGCAAAGTGCGGTTTCGCTCGGACGAGAGCGCGGGTCGGCTGAATGGGTCTTTCGCGTGTCTTCTGACTATTTGTATCGGCGTATCGATTACCATAAAGGATACGTATTAACGAAAATCGCGTGCGTTGCGCTCGCGGCGCCAATCTTCAAGATCGATTGCGACCATTATCCAGGCGCGGCATGCGAGTGTACACTTGTTGCCTGCGAAGACAGTGTAAACATCTCATTATGGGGTGAACCTACGTGTCGTTAATACGTGCGGTCTATTGCTGCGTTGTTTGAAAGCACCGCGAACATACGTGAAGATTCCTGTACAAAAAGTTTAGCGGGCTTCAAATAGTCTCACCCAATGTGCACCAAGAGCAGCAGATGCGAGCATTGTACTCGAACAACCTCTTCTGCAAGAGAACTATTCGCAAGTCAGAGGACGTGAGTGAGTGAGTGAGTGATTTATTTGCACTTAAATTGGTGCGCACACGGCGGCGTGCCAGGCAAGGCAGATAGGCAAAAACCCTTACGCGAGCGTGAGCTTTATACTCTTTAATGAGTTCCAAATTTAGGCCGCCAAGATGGTCAAGCTTTTGCTGCGCACATGAGTAGTTGAACTCCCCGCTCCCCTCGTTTTTTTGTTTTTTTCTTTGTTTTTTTTTCGCTTGGCGTCCTTGCCTTATTTACAGTGGCGAATGGCATCCAAAGTGGCGAATAGTCCTGAATATCTTATCTCTTAGCAGTCAATCACATCCGGGCATCAGCTGATAAAAACAAAACGATTCACAAATTGAGAATTATGATTATAAATTTCCGGCGTTTCTTTTTAAATGTCGGTTATTACGTCGGTTATTACAGTAGTAAACTTTACTATGATAAGCTATGCGCTTCGACACTCTACCATAGCCAAAGACAGCGTAGGAAAACCGCAGTATGTTAACGCTTCTTGCTTATAGCTTTGATGTTCTTTGCTGTTGTCATCAACTATTGCCACCATTACCTGCGCAGTGGTAGCAGAATGCGTGGGACTCTTTACGCTCTGTATTTCTTGAAGATTGTGGGGAGTCGCCATAGCAGTACCTAAGGTCGTAATTGGTGAAACAAACTCTAATAATGCGCGTCCCATCTTCTCTCACACGTAGCGTTCGGCGAGCTAATCGCTGCAATCTCCGCTCGGTGATGGACGACACCGAAAATTTGTTGAAGCGCGAAGATGAGGTTTGTTTGAGGACGCTGATCATGTTTCACATTGATCAGTGTCCCATTGCGACCCTCCTTTTTACGCATTAAATCATTTTGAGCGTCTTCATTTTGTTCATCTGCTTCCGTCGGCTGCATTCAATTGTCCGAGTGGTAGGAGCAAAAGAAGCCCATGCCACACGGGCAACTCGAATGCCATTTACAAGGAATGACATTCGTGTGGTTGACGAATCGGGCCGCGACCTGTCTCGCGTGGAATGCGCAACGCTTGGAGTATCGCGCGCTCATTGGCCGATTGTTCAAATGTCATTCGTTGTAAATGGCATTCGAGTTCCTCGTGTGGCACGGGTATTAGAGCACTTATTACAGCGGAGCTGTTGAGGGCTAGGTTCCCCAGGATCGTGTCCGTGTATGTCGACACAAACCTACCCGGACAGCTACCGCCATCTATAAGCGACGGCGGCAGGCACATAACCAGTATGGTTTCCGCCGTCGCTTGTAGATGGCGGCAACCTTTCCAACTATAATAGAAGAATGGATGGCTGGGCGCGTTGGTGGGAATTCATCGTAGCAAACAGCGCGAAAAACAGATGACGACGAAGAAAAAGCACACAGTGTATCGAGTACAGCTCCGCTGGTCTTCCTTATTGACAAAAGTGGAAAGGCTGTTTTTTTTTGTTTTTTTTTTGCAGTGTTTGGGAGGTAGATTAAGTAATATAAAATAATATAAATACAGCAATCTCCTACACATTTGGCTGCTGGGTTGAAATACAAATTATGCCCAATACGTTTGAAGCATTCTGAAAACTTGGCACTTGCATTGGAAATGTTCGACAATATTAAGAAAATGTTTCGTTAAAAATCGTGCTTTTTAAAGAGAGTCATCTTTCGTACGACCTCTGTACTGTCGTTATGTCATTTAAGTACACCGCCTTGAGATGACTAAACCGTGGACTGCTCCAATTCCAGCAAGGACGTGCGTTTACCGGTTCAACTACAGAGAGCCATGGCCGCCGAAGCTGAGGCTGCCAGAGAAGCACGAGCAAAGGTGAGAAAGCCCCCTCTCTCTCTAGACGGATAAGGTTCCTTGATATGTAAACTCATGGAGTTCACAGGACTATGTTCATTACTACGTCGTTTCAAAGAAGTTAAGAAAGTAGCAACATGTAGTTTTTACTGAAACACTCTTTTCTGTGGTTTTTTTTTATGTTTCTTCTGAATCCTTTAGAGCCCTTGGAAAATAATAGGTTGCGGCAAACATGTGAAACATCAGACTCTAAAGATTTAGTCTCACTTGGTTGAACCAGTGGACTCCGATGGGTGCTGCGCCGCTCGTTGATCGCATGTATACTCTGCGGCGTTCGCCGAGGAACCATAACGCTTATGTGGCACAGTACCACAAAAAGAGAAAAAAACACACACAAAAACCTAGACTAATTAAAAAAAAGGATAATACGAGACGAATGCCTATTGCATAGTGAACTTAAGAAAATTATTCACTTTGCTTCACAATATTTTAGGACTGAACGTAAGCAATAAAACGTATGTGACACCGAAAGTTGATTGAAACCAGAATTCATTGCTTAAGCGGTTATTTATGTAACATTACCTCTTACTGTGCCTTGCGTTTGAATTACGATCAGGTAAATATCATTATTTATAATTAAATGGCAGCGAAAACATTTGAATCTCACTTCATGGCTTCCAGCTTCAAGTTTTTGTTTAATTTCGACATTTGGAGTTGCATCACCTGAGAGTAACGAGGTTTCTGAAATTAATTTGATAACGATTCGGGCTGTTTCTTTTTTTTTTTTTTTTATACAGAGATACGGAAAATTTAGTTTAAGAGAATCGGACGCTTTTTAGAAACTGGAAATAAGAATTATTTGACCTATTCCACTACTGGCGCTCGCAAAGCTTCCATTTACAATAGAACATATGTATTTGGAAAAACCGCGTTTCGTGTAACCTTTATGATGTAACAATCTCCGTTCCCTGTCATTTTAAAAGATAATAGCCTTTTGTTGCGTGCGCTACTGTAGTATTCTCATCGAAAAAAAGGTATGTATAAATTATAGATATAAGTAGAGCGATTTAGTATGGAATATTCTCTGCTAGCATAACAAAAGCAGGAAGTATGCGTGCATTTTATTATCTCTGCGCAGTCAATTCCGGCGTTAGTCGATAAGAGCGCCGAAGAACAAATCACAAATAAGTAAATAATAATAGGTCACAGAGCTTCCAGTGCTATCAGTCAAATTGCCACAAATCAGCACTAAAACAGTCACAGCCCGGTCAATGAAACCGCGATTAGCTGTCGGCGCAAGCGATACTTCTGGCCAAAACCCCTGCGAGGAATCTGAATATAACGGCGCTCTTTAACTGCTTCGACGTGTATAAGCAAGCGCCTAGGTCACACGTATCGCCTATCACGTAACACAAACAGGCAACGGAGGAGTCGGCACGAAGGCGAGATGGCACGATCGAGCAGCCGGTGCCTCCACATCCTCGCCGACGTGACAGCAAAAGTTTATTGCGCGTCGCGCAGTAAGACTGGCACGAGGAATATCGCGTTAGGCTGACAACGCTGCCACTCTCTAAGCTACCATACGTGACGGCCGTTTGGACGACACAAGATTTCGCTGCTGGTGGCCCGGCAAGCCCGAGACCTATTTCCATGCAAAACGGCTCCGATCGGCCCTAACGGCCTCTACCATAGCCTCAACACTTTCCCTAACGTGACGCCAAGGCCTAATGGTTCACGAGGCCACAAAAGATTGGCCTCCTTTTGTCGGGATCCTAAGGACGTGCCCCGCCGTAGGGTACTGCGTCTGGAGATTTGTACATCGTTACGCCTAATGAAGGTGTTTCTTGCCGACTCTCCTTGGGATAGTTTCCAGTCCTGGAGGCTGGAACCTATTACTGGTTTCGTTTTGGGTCCCATTTTTGTTGCTTGGATGACCCGGGCCGCTCCGGGAACGTGCTAATGCTGGCGAGGCTAAGGAAGGTTACCAGCGGGGAAAGTCGTTCTAGCAGCCTTCTTGGGTTCCGGCCTAACAAGCTCCGGGCAGAGTGACAAAAGCGATTGGCGAAAGAGAGCCATTATTGCTGGTTGGAGAAATTACCTCTTTTTGCGGGTAAGCTGTTGGAGCTGCGCTAATGCTTACTGCAAGCCTGGTGGTAGCCCGGTTAAATCGCGGCTGTGTTCTAAGCACCCTGGAAGCTAACAAAAACTGGGCGGTCGCAACGGTTTCGATTGTATTCAGTGGCAGAAAAAAGTTTGTCCTTAATAATTCAGCAGCCAGTTTCTTTTTATTTCAAATGCTTCCTAAATCTAATAAAAAAAATTAAGTTTTTCTCGCTCTGCAGCATACGTCAAATTTCAATTCCGATTATAGCTTTCACTTTCCTTGAAAGATTCTGACACTGCTGTTTATAATCAAAATCGTTCGGAGCTAGTGCGCTGTATTTACAGTCGTCAGTGTTCCTTCTCAAAATCTCGGCTGATATTAACATTTGAACTTCTAGGACCGAAAATCTGATATTTTGTGCAGCACTTTGTACACGTCAAAAAGATTTGTAAGAATGACAACATATTTAAATATATGCTGTCAAAGTTCATTTAAGATATGAGTAGAAGTTTCTATCTTTAATTAATATTACACGGACGTTTTTTTGTTTTCTTTAGTTGATAAATGATTTTATTAAAGTACTGATACCTCTGAACAGTAGTCTGTATTTTCGTGTTAAACCTAGTAGCTCCAAAATTTACCCCACGAAGCCGCCTAACAAATTCATCCGAGGAATTCTACTTTTTGTCTGCCAAAACATGCCGAATATATTTTAAGATTAATTGTTAGCTAAAAAAGTCGCTTTACTTTCCTGTGATTGTGTGGGGTTAGAGGGTATAATATAATGCAGTTTAATCACAAACTTTCGGAATTATATTATTGGAGCCTTTGGATCATGACAATAGTGTTCTGCCCCACTATTTTTAAGGCTAGTTCTTTTTATAGTCAATTTTGTATTTTTTCAAATGACATATAATGCGCGTAAGAGGTATCGAGGGATAATTTAATGAACGATTATCCATGCCTCTCACAGACGACATGCTATATTTAAATTGATAAGCTTAATGCCGTGTATGAAATACCATCTTTAGAAAAATTCCGACGCCGCTTTTTTCAACGGCAGTGTAGTTTTTCTTCCTTCTTTTTTTTTTGTAGTCGGGTGATTAGTGCTTTACGATAGATGAAGACACACCAATTCGAAATGCGTTGTAATTACTCCTCGTGCATGTATTATGTTCGTCTAAATTAAAATCAACGAAAAATGCTGCCGAAAGTCCTGCACTAAAAAGACTGCATTGAAAAAAAAAAAAAAACGCGAACATTATTTAAGACTGGATTATAATTATACATCAAAATGTTGCGATATATAGTAGATTTTTCTATTCACCGAGCCCGGACATAAACTGACAGTGCCCGCGGTGTAAGGGCCGACATCAAACTCAATGATTAAAAATTATTCGATTCATTTAGAGAACTTGAACCTTAATGAAGTCAGAAAACATGATTGCGCTTTGAAAACAGGGACATACGAAGAACAGACACTACAGAGCGCTATGTCTTCTTCTTCCTATGTCCCTGTCTTCAAAGCGCAATCATGTTTTCTAACGTACCATACCAACTTGCCCAACAATCAGCACTTGTGAATGAAGTCGAAGTGTGCGTTGGAAAGGGGGGGGGGGGGAGGGCACTTTCACCGTTGTCCCACAAAAGGTTTGTGATACACGAGTATCCGGACACATGTGCAAACACTATGACATGGGCATGTTAGCCCGTTCTGTTTCATGTCATGAATGGTCGCCGACCAACAGTGAGTGCATGCGGGAACGTTCAACACTGCAAGTGTGAACAGCGTGGCTCTTTCTTGCCAGAACTAAGTGACAATCGCATTGAACTCGTCGAATAATGTGCTGTTTTCGACGAAATTGACGCGTATTGCTTCGTGTGTTGTGGGCCTTTTTTGTTTCCTCCCCTTTGCGTGTTACTGATGCTAAGAACCGGCCAAAAGTTGTCAATCGGACATTGTGCGGTTAACAAAACCAGCACGAAGTTTCAGAAAGATTGACATGAGGTTTCTTTCGCGTAGTATTTTTTTAAATTCTTTTGTAATTTTATTAGCAATTGTTAGTGATTTTCGTTTATCTGAGTCCGTCATAAAATGAAAGAATACAACCAATGTATATTTTTAGAAATTGAATGTTTTCGAGGACTGTTGATTTTTTTAGATGCCTTGATTTGCACTTCACGATGCTCTGACGTGTGTTCCGACTTATAAAAGAGGTCAATTCATAATACCTACCTCATGGCTTTCGTTTATGTTTTAAATTAGGAAATGTATAAGAATGTAAAAATATACAAGCAAAAAAAAAAAAACCCAGTGTCGCGCGGGGCGACATGTTTGACTGTGCCTCCTGCCCGTTGCTGCCCTAGTTATCACTAGGGCAGAAGGCACAACGCTGCGGATGCAAAAACGTGAATCATATGTTTATTATTAGCATTTTGACATCGGTAGCCTTGTGTCTGCTGCAGGAGTGGAAATTTGAGCGCACCCTATCGCTTGACACGTGATTTACGTCTTCGTAAAAGTGACTGATGTAGGGGTTGTCGATGGCGCTCAGCTAGTTTCTAATTAGAATCATACGTTCACGTTCACTATAGTCCGTTGCAACCCAAGAAGGTAGGGAGCGGAAAAGAAAGGCCGGGGAGGAAGAAGCACACGCAACGCTAGAGAGGAGAAGTAGAAACCTCCTCCTCTCTCCAGCGTTCCGTCTGCTTCCTCCTCGCCGGCCTTCCTTTCCCTGGTCTAATCTTCTTGGGTTGCAACGAACTACAGTCAAAAGCATAATACTTAGTAATTTTTAATTAATAGTTTAGCTTATTAGCATGTGTTTCGCAGTCCCTCACGTCTACTGTGGCTGGCAGTTTATTCCCAAAAATATTATATTTTTTTCTCACCCAGCCTAACGTCACTGGAACTGGGAAAGTAGCGCCGTTGCCTTCCCACCTGCTAGCCGGACACAAACAAATACTAACGCACAGACGACAAATCCTCTCAAGGTGATTAGCCCATCGCTGTCGGTTGCCATGGTGATCGCCATTTTGATCCCTTTCAATGCTTCGCAGCTTCGAAAGGGTATTTAAAACCAGTCGCACCAAGATGGCTATGAAGCATCATCGTACTGAAAGCGTTCCTCGGGCAATATGAGCGTCTTTGGCACTGTGCATTCAATAAAGTTATGACTCATGCTTATTTCCCCAGTACTCGTACAATCGTGTTCTCTTCTTGCGCGTTTCAGGACAGTAAAATAATTTTTCAATGGCCCCAAGCACCGACGCCGCGTGCGATGCGTTCAACGTTTACCGCCATCACAGGCAGCGTCATTGCTTGGAGGCATTGAACAGTAATTTTACTATCTTGGCACACTCAAGAAGAGCAACATAATTATAAGAGATCTGGGAAATAAGCATGAGAAATACGTCTATTGCATTCACACGTCCAAAGATGCTCATATTGGTCAAAGAACGCTTTCAATAGAATGAGGCTCTATAGCGATCTTGGGGCGACTAGTTTTGATGACCCTTCCGAAGCTTCGAAGCTTTGAAAGGGTCCGAAATGGCGATTGCCACGGCAACCGACAGCGATGAGCCAATCACCTGGAGAGGTTTTGTCGGCTGTATGTTGGTATTTGTTTGTGTCCGGCTAGCAGGTGGGAAGGCAATGGCGCTGCTTTCCCAGACCCAGTGATTTTAACCCAGCCTATCGGCATCTTTGAGTGTGTCCCCGACAGATTAAAGAAACGCTGGGCGCAGCGAAATACGGGTAGAAAATGTAGGAGCGGAGGAGGAGTTGCGATCGCTCGGGGCGTCAAAACACCGAGCTCTGGTTGGAATGATCAGCGGGTATAGATGCCAAGCTACCTGTCTACGTCTCTACTCACTGCTCAAAAGCGAACGCCGAGCGCTCGACTCCGGCATTCGGCGTTCGAACACCTTTAAACAGGGAGTAGACACAAAGGCAGCAACTAGCTTTTCGTCTTCTCACAAGTCATTCCAAGCTGAGCTGGCTGTTGCGACGTCCCCTAGCAATGTCATCTCCTTTTCTCGCACACTTTCTGCCCGTGTATGTTCGCGTCCTTCCTTTATGATTTTGCCTCGGGCGTTTTTATCGGCTAAGACGGCAATCGCGTTGGCAACGAAGCGATCATACGATGCATGCGACTCTACACGCCTTGCCTTTCTGAAGTTGTCCGCGACTATGGAATGCGAAACACCGCCGTCATGTGGTCGGATATTTGTTCCTCGTAAAGTAAAATGATTAAACGACGGGGCAGTTGACGAGAGACTCTGACCAAAACGGCCCCCGTAATACAAGAAATAAGAGCGCTTATGAAGCAGTTATTTTATTTATAGAAACTTCCGCGCGTTCGTAAAATCATAATTTGATTTTTCTAATCACATGTCTTGCGATATTAATCCGTATTAAAGGTCACGCGTTGTTTCAATGTAATGCTTCGCCGTGAGTGCACGCTTCGTTCTGTAGACGGTAGTGTTTGTGCAACTGCTTTTTGCGCAATGTTCTAATTGAAAAAAAATATTACACCTTGTGGTTTTGAGCCTTAATTTGCACCTGCTCGGTGTCACAGCGCTATTTAGACGCCAGGATGAGGCATTATTTTTTAGCGCATGAATTTTCCTGCTTCCTGCGTTTTACCGCACTTGACGGTGATGAGAAGATTTGGACTTTCGGGTGGCATATGTCCGCAGGCTGGTACTGAAAGCTACTGGTAAAGTAAGCCCCGGAAAGTGACAAGCTCAATGTGCAATCGAAGATGTGCTGCAGCGGCGCAACGAGACCGACACACCTGACAGGCTGAAGGGCGGACGTCGACGCACACAGCGCAGTTAGCGAGAGTGGGGTTTGGGAGTCATCACGCGATAGCCGCAGCCAGCAGGCGAGGCTTTCGGTCGAAAGCACACGAGGTTGTTGTCTGTTCGTTCTGTGTAACGGAAGAAGGCAACACAGGTAGAGCTCTCGCTAAGACGCTCGGTTACGGTAATGTTCGCCGTTGACGCTGGCGATTTTGTTGGCAGCCTCTCTTACAAGAGAGCTACGCTTTCAAGTTTTGCAGGGCGAACTCCACCACTAAAATATAATTTTGATAAAAATTTTATATCGTGCGGTGGACGCGTCCTATTTTGGAGCGCAGCTCTTAGGCGCCAGTTTCCTGGTTGAGCGGCGTCGGCGTCGGCGTAACTGTGCGTTGCATTATGGGACGTTTCCCATAATGACGTCACACGTGTAAATTTTTTCGCTAAATATGACACGATAATGTTTCGCTAAATTTGGCGGAAAATGTTTCCATTAAATTCAGCGGGACGTTTTCAATATTGACGTCACGTGACGTCACACATGAGATTGACGTGTGACGTCACACGTCCATTTTCCGGAAAAATTGCCCGCTAAATATAGCGGGGGAATGTTACCGCTCCACTGAGCGTAAAAGATTCCCTCAAAATTTAGCGAAAAAAATTCCCCGCTCTATTTAGCGGAACAATTTAGCAGCTAAATTTAGCGATGACATTTTCTCTAAACTTAGCGGTAAAGTTAGCGAAAATTCTCCGCTAAATGGGAGGGCTGCAGGCGAGGAGGAGGGGAGGGTACGGAGGGGGAGGGGCATACCATCCCCTCTTCCTCCTCAAGAGCTGCGCTCCAGTTCGGCGCTGCAGATAATTAAAAACGTCTTTAATTTTTTTCTAGACAGGTTCAGAGCCAGCTTGGGGATTTAAGCTACCCGACCCTATATGACCCAGAACATCTACACTGGATGTACTAAATTGGACACAAGGTCGGCACGCCCGTACATTGTTTATTTATGTTTTCGTTCGCATTAACCTTTAGTTTCTAGTCGGTTCGGCTCAATGAAGCCACTTGAAACGTGCGCGCCGTCTAGCAGCTGCTGCATGAATTATCCGAGTCCACCATTGTTTGGGCACTTACTGTGACCATGTATTGGACACGAGTGCTGCGTCAGTGCTTGGCGAAGACTCGGATCCAATGACGCGGTTGGTACCCCGGAAATGGCGACCGCCAATGTTGCTCGACTCGGTTTTAAGAAAAACAAAGTGTGCTACGTTCTGGCATTATCGCTGACTGTGCGTCCCCTCGTTAAGCTCACACGTCGTCGCTCGTTCTTGTTCATCCGCAGTTGATCGCCGCCGAAGGAGAGCAGAAGTCGTCTCGAGCACTGAAAGAAGCCGCGGACGTTCTGTCCCAGAGCCCGGCAGCCATCCAGCTGCGCTACCTCCAGACCCTAAACACCATCTCGGCGGAGAAGAACTCCACCATTATCTTCCCTCTGCCCATCGACATACTCTCTTGCTTCGCCCAAGACAAGAAGAAGAAGAAGAAGGAGCAAGAGGACTGAGGGCGGACACCGTACGATCCTCAGATGAGAGGCGACGTCCCAACATTTTGGATCGAACGTGGATTGACGCTACCAAATCACGTGTCGCTGATGGCGATGCATTTGAATGCTGAACCCTGTAAGCGTAAGAGAAAGCCTTGTTCGAGAGAAATAGTTTTCGACTGCCACTCAAGTTGCGATGTATGGTAGACATACGGAATTTTGAAGGGAGGATGCCAGGTGGACCGAGTCATACTTGCAGGAGGTGATATGACAGTCTGACTGATAGCGAGAGGAAATTAGAACGCTAATGGAGTTTACGAAACATCTGTTTATCGGAACGCTTCGAAGTATATACATGATGTTAATGTTACGGTTAAGTGGACTTCATACGTTTGAGCATGGCCCGCCAGGCATATCACAGCTATACTATCTTTGTTTAGGTTGTATTTTCAATTTTACGCATCTGGGTTTTCGTATCAGAAAAAACGGTGTTGCTCACAAACCTGAGATGTGTTAGGAGATATTGTTCAACAGCGTTTTCGACTCTATCATCGTTCACTTTAATGAACACAGGGTGCTGTGCTTGTCTCACGCGTTTATAGTGAGCATTCGCCACGATCATTACACGGAACACCCCACTTACGAAAGCACTCGATATTTTGTTCAGTTAAACTTTTGATACGCCTGAAGTGCGTATAACAGCCGTGTGGAATGCCATAACTCTGACCTACCTTTGTATAAAAAATTGCGTTTCGGGAATTGTCGTACTTAATTGAAGGGCTCAACTATACTAACTTTTTTATTTTGTGAGAAAAACAGGAGGGTCTACTTAACTCATAGGAAGAAGTGTATTTACCAGTAAGGAGGCTGATTGCGCGTAAAGTCCATTTGAGCGGATCAAATGAATCAATGCATGCTGTGACATTCCACCAACACGTATGCAGGCTTCTGGCACCCTTGCATGACGCCGATGCACGCTCAAGAAACCGACACTCTCAGGGATATATGCGGGCAACGTAAGGCTGGATGGTCCCGGTACAGGAGCTTCACGACGGGCGCTTCTGCCTCCCGACAACCGCGCTTCGAGACGACCGCACAGCCTTCCCCCAAAACGCGCTATGAGGTCACGGATGAGCCTCGAACGCACGTGCAATTTCCTCCCCAGGAGCAGGGTCACCACCGGCCGTGTTCCCGCGCTGCCATTTCCGGAGCACAGCGCCGCCGGAGTTGTTCTCGCGATGCCAGCTCGGAGGACGCGCTTGAAAACTGCGCCTTTCCCATTCCTGACGTTCGTCTATACGGAGTACTTTGTTGCCCTTCTCACACGGTGCCTGGAACACGTCTTCGATTGGTCCGTTTACTGTCCTATCACGCTTACGCACTGCGAGTGCTCCCCGATCGGTACCAAATTACGTTCAAGGAGCCGCCAAGCCATTCTATCGGATGTCGCGAACCTGGAGGTTGGTCGCAAAAGTGCCGGCAAGAAAGACGAGATGGCGTGAGGGTCGTTCTCATCACGGCTAATAAACTCCTGACTGACACTTTGAGTACAAGGTAAACACACCAGGAAGAGACGTGTTTCACGCATTTTACTTGTATGCCGAACATCGCTTCGTATGTTTCGTTTCAGTTCTGTAGTGCATGTACTTTTCATTATTACCGTGCACATTTTGTGGCTTTCAAATGGACGGGTGGCAGCTAGTGTACGAGAATCATGTCCATGAGTTTAGAAATCGGCTAACAAAACAGTTGAGTACCAAACCAAAGCCCATGCACCCACTATCTTGTATGATCTTACAGCTTTTGCAACTAAGAATACATGTTTAAAAAAAATGTATAATTTTGCTGCACCCGATAATTCTTGTCTGCCTCACTGACTTTTTTGTCTCGTTGACCCTTCTTGGTACGGTTACTGTATGTTTTCGGGAACAAGAACGCCCATCAGTGTTACAAAAGAAGCCGTCCTTATTCTTTTAAGTAGACACTTGTATCCAGACAGTGCATTTACATGTTTAGGCATTTTCTACGGATGTGTGGCACGTCCTGTCGGTTGAACGTCTTCTTCCTCGTAACCTAACGTCGTTTTCCCGCTGGGCATCACCCTTCCTCGCATCTTCGCGTTGCCTAAACCATCGCTTGACTTGTCCGGCGGCGCTGGTTTCTACCTCAAAGGTTCAATGTTCTTTGCGGCAGGTCGTCCAAAGGGAGAGGCAAGGGGGAAGGAGGGAGATATGAACAATTTCTGATGCATCGCGTAAACACCGCACTGCCATCTATATTAGCGCAAAGTTTCCCTTTGGCTGACATACGTTTCCTCGGGGCGCTGCGCGACATCAACCAGAAACTTCGCGCTTCAAAGCGTGTCAACCGGGAAAGAAGGGAAAAGAACGAGAACGTGCAACGCGTGCTAGCAATTTTGTTACGCTGCTTCCCCGCAGCAGTCAAAGCCGGCCGTGCCACGAACGTGTGCGTCCAAAAAACGCAATCGTGCGGAAAACAGTCACCTCACTTTTTTTTTTCAGTCCGTGTTTTCAATTTAACTGCCTCGTTATACGATCGTTACTCCAACGAGTGAAGAGGAAGAAAAGAACTAAAAAAGAAATAGCACGCGAGCTTTGAAGCGATCGCGTTGTACCGACTTTTATAAGGCTATGCTTAGATATAAGATCCGCCATTAAACTTCGTTTTGTAGATTGATTCAGAATATATGTGTCAGTTTTGTTTGATGGAATAGATTGGCAAGTTTTTATTCATATTTTCAAGCACTTTAATTTCTAAAGATCGACAAAAACGACAGCTACAATTTTACAAGATTTTGTCTCATTTCACAGCGGTTTTGTGAAAAACTGGTAGAAAAAATAACTATTTCACAATTTACGTACGAATCTGCGACATCATGTATATTTTAGGGTTACTTTTATTAGTACCAGTATATAAACATTGTGGAGATAGGTTTCCCAAGGAAAGAATGACAATATTGTTAATCAGGTGGGGGGGCGATATTAGTATATATTTCAAAAAGGTTTTGTTAGGCGTTAGAGAAAATGAAAACACAAATTTTTGGTCATGCCACAGCGAAATATTGTTGCATATCAGCTTCGCCATTTTCTCTGAGTTATTGTTGGGGATCGCAGTTGGGTTAAATGCTAGGCACATATGCATTTCGAAATAATAAATAGTGTTGTCGTCCGTGCATGTAGACACATAGAACTTTATTGCGAGGTAAGATATTTTGCTAGTTAAAGATATTATGTAATAGCACAAAGTTAGCATTTCGGCGCCAAGCGTGTGAGCGTTTATTCAAAGTATCAAAGTGTCACACTATTTAAGTTACGCTAGCTTGGTTATGTCTTCTTTAGTACGCTACTTTGAAAAATTACTAACTTGTACTTGGTTATTGCAGGAATTTGCTTCATACATAACGAGCATGTTACTGAATTTCGTATCATGCGAATGTCAGATTACATACTTCAAATTCGACCCACATCTCTTTGTTTAGTTTGGCACTAAATATCTAAAAAAGGCAATTAAAATAGAATTTTAGTTTTTATAACTGACGTCATTCCGCATCGAGATGAATCTCTGTCTGCTTATAATTCAAGAAAACCATCTCGCTCAAGTTGTCGACATCAGATTACAAGCGATTCACCAATTAACACAATTAGAATAACACCACTGTAAACGTGAAACCCTAAATTCTAGTTAGCCTACCTGAAGCACTGCGTTTTTAAAGTATTAAAAATTCAATGTTTCTTAAAATTGAGTAAATCTGCTAGAGAAACTAAGTATTATTTTCATCTTTGATCTTCGTCATGAAGTACCTGCTTGCAATTTCTAATATGAACAGTGTATCAAATTGTGATAATGGACACTTGTACACATGCAAAAGTGTTTCTAATCTTTTTGAAACCTGAGAACAGTGCACACTAAATATTTAATTTAAATAAAGTTTTCAAGAACAAGGCTATATACAAATATGTTTACTGCCTCAGAATTTGGTCGCTTTGGTGGTATATTAAGATGAATAACTTAGAATACGGGGTTCTATATATAAAATAGGAAGTTTGAAGATACAGGGAAACTGACTGATGACTGTATATATTCTTGTGTGTATCACAGCAAAGGCGCATTCACTTTTATTAATATGCAAGTAGCACTAAAGTCTTTGAGGACGAAAGCATGGCGGTTGGCTTTTCCACATGTATTAAAATTATTCTGTGTCATGCAGTTTGCCGCACATTGTAAGTTTTATAGTTATATCCTTGCATTGTTTTGTTGAACTGTTATAGTTTTAGAGTACGAACTTTTGTCTGGTTTATAATATTCACTTGACTTAGAAGTGGCGGAAAAATAAATTGCAGTTTGACTGAATTTCTGGAGAGTCTTGTCTTGTTGCTTGTGCTCAGAGCACCAAATTTAATCAACCTTTGGCATATAAGCGGTAGTGGTTGTTTTTAATTTAAAATTATTCAGAATCTTCAATGCTCCCCAATTTTTTTTTGGCAACAACAAAAGGAGGCTAAATATTTTACTTGCCTTAACTGTTTTGCCTACAAAAATGCTGAATAAAAAAAATTAAAATAACTATAATGAAAATTGCAGTTGTCGGAAATGTCAAATATCAAATGAATATGTCAAAACCTGTAATGACCTGTGAGAGAAAGAAGGGTAAATAGAGAATTGAAAGGCAGTATCTCCAAAACCGCAATCCATTCTCTCTCTCTATATATATATATATATATATATAGAGAGAGAGAGAGAATGGATTGCTAATGCCGGATTTTTTAAAAATACTGTTTTATTAATGGCAATCTTTGGTTACAAAGTCTGCAGTCTCTTACACGTACAGTGTTAACAGACTTTGTAACCAAAGATTGCCATAAATAAAACAGTATTTTAAAAAAAAATCCGGCATTAGCAGACATCCAGGTAAGAACAAGAAATGTGAATTACCAATACAATTATCCGAGATCCACTAATTAACCTTTCAAGTCAGGATGTATTACGCCAAAACAAGG